AAGCAGAATTTTGACAATAAAGTGAGACCATGTGTTAAGAGCTGCACCTCTCAAGTGACCAAAGTCATGAAATGAGACACAAGTGTATGATACATAGTAAACATCTGGTAAATGTTAGCTACTTGTATGCTGTTATCATCAGATTCTTAGGGTTGAAACTCTACAGACTGTATTCTATGTACCACAAAGTCCAGTGAGCGGTGAAAACACAGCCATCACATAAAGTCGAAAGCGCTCAGCTTCACTCCTGTTAGGACAGGAATGGGAAATCCACAGGTTTGGAGATAAACATCAATCTATCAGTAAACTGACAACACTTACTGAAAACAAATGGAGACTGTTCAACTGAGGAATGAGGAGGGGGGGAAGTGAAGATTAAAAGCTTTAACCTACAGTATGTCAAACTCAATTCCTTTCTCCTTAAAACCATTTGGCTGTAATCCACCCTGAAATGAGATCACATGAGCTTAAATGGGTGACTGAATCATAAGAATAACAAGAACACAAGAGTATGGTAGTGGGGCAGTAAGTCAAACATGAGAAATTACATTTTTAAAAGATATCAAAAATTTTCTAGAAAAAAATGCAATTGATCACAGAAAATGAAATACATTCTCTGGCATCAACCAAATGGTCAATCATCAATCAATATATTATTTATGCCTTTTCTTCTATCTCTTCCACTGAGCAATTAAACACATTTAGTAAATCTGACCATGGAAGAGTACCTTGACACTTCTTCCCATTTTCATAAAGTCTTAACTTTTCCATAGGACTCCTGTACTTATTTCTTAATCTAAAAATAAAAACTCTGCTTTCAGTCTTCAAGGCAGTTTATTACCTTAAACAAGCCAGCTTCTGCATACATCTAATGCTGCAGTCTTATCTTTTGAGTCATTGTAAAAGCAAAAGATCAAAGATTTAGAAAATTCTATGCACAATATCTGATTTTTTTCTTAAAAAGTTGCCAAATTATTCTATAATTTCTGTGGAAAACCTTTATGATACTGAATGGAGAGGAACTTAAATCTTAACAGTCAGAGAGGGAGGGAGGGA